ATTATCGAGTGCAATCGCACCTGCTTCCCGACCAAGCCTGCAGCAAGTTATTTGAATTTGACAGCAAATTTATTTGATTTGACAGCAACTTGCTGTCAAATCAAATAAATCCTCTCGCTCTACGGCTAATTTGCTAACTGTTGTGACTTAAAGATTTTATTGTGTATTAGATTAAGGCAGAGAGGCTAGAGCTATTGCTCTTGATATCTAAGCTTTTCGACAAAGTTTGGCATTGGTCTTCTCCATAAGCTTGTTTAATATGTTTTATCTGGGAAAGTTTTTGAGATTGTCAAATCATGACTTTCTGACCGTTTTATTAAAGCCATCCTTGAAGACCTTCCTTTTTGAGATTATCAAATCATGTCTTTCTTCCGTTTTATTAAAGCCATCCTTCTGTGGTACCTCAAGGTTCCATCTTTGGTCCTGTTTTGTTTCTTATCTACATTAATAATCTTCCCGACAACCTTACATCTAAAGTAGCTCTTTTAAAAAAATAAACTTTTAAAAAAATTCTTCTTAAAAAGAAAGAAAAAACATAAGTGAAAATTAACAAAAACTGAAACATTAAATAAAGATATTACTTAACTAAAGTAAAACTCAAAAAAAAAATAGTGTTTTAAGTTATGTTCGGAATAATAAATTTTGTAAATTTTATCTTAACTAGTTTTTATATATTTTTTTACTAATTTAAAAATAGTTAGTTACATGCTTGTAAATAATTACGCATTAAAAATATAAGTATATAAACTAAACTCCTTTCAAAACCATTTAATACTTACTTGGTTTGCTTGTATTTTATTTAATAATTTTGTATTTTTGCTTGTATAAAGTGGTAAATTGTTTTGTTGCATTTGAATTCATTTTCTTTGTTAATTTCAAATTTTATTTATTTCAAATAAACATTTATATATATATAGTATAAAAATTTATTTTATAATATAAAAATTTCATATAATATAAAAATATATAATATAAATATTTATTTCAAATAAACACTATGGTGTTTTGAAAGTTTGAGTTTGAGAAAGATTGTCTTTAATATAACAAGAATTCTATTGTTTAGTTGTTCTTTTAGCTAGTGATATAAAAAACAATATATGTATCAAATATGGAGAAATGTGAAAAACTGGATTTTGTAGAAAACAAGGTTTTATTTAACTTAAAGATTTTTCTTGCGAAGAGCAATAAGAAATAATGTGGCGAGCATATTTAAAAGAGTAAGTAATAGTGGTAGAGCGCTCGCTTCATAAACGAGTGGTTGCGAGTTTGATTCCCACCACCTCCCTGGTAGTACCGCTCTCAACTTGTTTCTCCGCGCAGCGGCTTTATTCTTCAAGGTTCGTGTTTCGGAGTTATAGAGTTGAGAGAGGTAATGTAATGCCAGGTCAGAAATTCTGCAGCAAATCACTGCAAAAGCAGTAAAACTCATGATGATTTTAGTATACAAGAGAATGGGAATGAAGAAGTAAGAATGGGATAGGTTTCATCAGTCAAATAGAAAGTGTTCCAAAACACTGCTAAATACATGCAGCGAAATAAATGTTTGGTGACACTATAGACAGTTGCAATAATACTTTCATTAGCATATGATATTGATGAAGCTTCGTTAACAGCAGCAAAAAACAGCACTAATTATAGCAATATGTTAAAGAAAGATCACAAACAAGATCACAGACATTTTAATGTATGAAATCAAAAAAAAAAATCTGTGACTATCTCTTATCACCATAAGTACAAATGTTAACACCTGCACCAGAATCATGAAAACATATAAAAAGGTATCAAATTACTTTGAAGTGTCTGATTATGTTGTTTGAACTTCAAGACATGTTATGGGATTCTATAATTGCCAGGAAAAAATTCTGATGCAGTTATGTGGAATAGAAGTTATAAAGATTTTATTAGTTATAACGAAAACGTTGAATGTATGCTGTACCCAAATAAGCTATGCCCTGGTATTTAAGAATTAAAAAGTTGTTTAGTAGATGAATTTATAGACCATGAGCTAATAGAAGATTTAGTATTCAAACAATGGCAGAGTACTGATCGTGCAACACTACTGTTACAATCATTGACAACTAACCACACATTCATTTATAGCAAAAACACAAAATAGATTCTTGAATAACTGTAAAGAAAATATAAACCCAAACATGTGTTTAATTTTAGGAGATTTTGTTTTAAGTTATTTTCAAAGGAGGATATTGACCAAATTTGAGCAAGTTTGGACAAAAGATAATTAGATAGTAGAACAGTTGCTGGCACAATGATTTATCATCATTTTATTTCTATTAGTTTAAATACAATGATTAATAACATAAAGAAGTGTGGATACATATATTGAAGTATTTGATTTTATTCTAAAAAACAAAAATAATTAAGATATTTGAATAAATGTTAAAAGAAAAACAGATTTTATAACTTTTATAATGAATTTTGGTGGATTTTGCTGAAGATATGAATGAACTTGATATCAAAGTCAGATTTAAGCAACCACATGGATCAGTTAAAAATTTCTTATGGTCAACAAGAAATTATGATTGTTGGGTGCTTAAGATATTAAGTCATATGCATAATTTTTACACCCACAATACAGGCTTGGTCGGGAAGCGGGAGCAGTTGCTCTTGAATACTGACCACGGAAATTATATTTAGTTGCGTAAAACTGGCCAGGTTTTTGAGTCGTTTTGAGAACATTTAAGTTTATGTACGAAACAAAAAATTTTTGTTTTACGGACATACATGGAAACATATAAAACTTGAATGTTCTTAAAACATCTTTGTGCGAAGGAATAAAAAAAATATTTGTGAACACTAAAAACCCGCCAAATTAACGAACAAACTAATTCTATTAGTTCAAAAAATACGCTGATTAAGCAAAATAAAGTTTTAAAGTATTCTGTTAAAATGTTTTAGAAATAGTATTATTCACTATTTGTTACGTTTTGAGATTTCTAGCATTGTTTTAAGAATATATATTTGTTTACAAAAATAAATGTTTTAAATATATATTAATTAAATTGTTAAAATTTTAAAAGTTTATTATAAATCATAGATTTTATTAGTATATTCTTAATTTTTATTTTAAAAGAGATTGTATTCTTTATGTAAATGTAATTTTGTGTATTTGTTTTTTATCGTAATGTATCTTTTAAAGCAATTTTCATGATTTAACCAAAGACTTACACAAATAATTGCGTTTTCAATGAAGTTATAATCGTTAAAGTTAATAAAACTAATTATGTAACAAACGTATGAAATGTTTCTTGTTACTAAACACAAACAACGCATACAAAGTAACTCGCGGATGAACAAGCATCGCGCTTGAGGTCAGGACAGAACACAAATATATATAGCAAATAATTAGATATAAAGAAAAGTTTCTAGATATTGGTTTACTAACTCTAATTATTTTCGCTTAAAGTGCCATTCTTAAAACTTGTTATACTTTTTTCTGCTTTAAATACTAATTAAAATTAAAAAGCCCACTCACTAAACATCAGCGATATTGTGAAGCAGTTTCGTTTCCTGGTCATTAATTTTTAACCTTCTTAGTTGATTTCTATCTTGATAATTTGATTCCTATAAGTAATTCAATGATTTAATTATTTCATTTGTTTATCTTACTAAGAAGAATCGCTTCAAATATGTTAAACTTTTCAAACTACGCGAAACATAAAATAGGTATTAAAAAAATTAACTTTTTTATTTATAAAATAGTTTAGCTTAAGTAAAACTAAATCTTGCAAACTTAGTTAAATAAAGAATATTTGTTTTTTAAACAATCGTAAGTTGTTACTTTATATAAAAAACATCGCTTAATTTTATAAAAAAAATTGTAAAGGAGCGATATTTGTTCTAAATGTAATTTATTTAGCTTTAACTTTTTTCGCGTTTAAAGATATTTTATTTGCCTTTTTTGTTATTGTTTCTCATCGGTCCAACAAATCTTTGTCGTTTTTTTTTTTTTTTTTGCCTTTTTAAAATGTTCTCAAAACGGCTAAAAAATCTGGCCAGCTTTTTGCAACTAAATATTATTTACGTGGTCAGCAATCGAGAGCGATCGCTCCTGCTTCCCGACCAAGCCTGACAATAATATCAGGTCGCATGTTCAACATTTCTGATTTAGATTTAAAGAATATAAGGAATTATAAAAAAAAAATAATAATAATATAAGCTCAAAAAATCAATAATTTACAAGTTAATAATTAAAAAAAAAAATTGGATAAATGAAACATTTCTTGAGATTATTAAGTCCTAAGAGTTGTTTTTTTGAACTTCTTAACCAAATTTCTATGTGGATTTTAAATTTTAGGAAAATCCTCCAAACCATTATCAAGACATTATATGTCAAAGATGCTTTGTTGTCTCTTCATACAACCATAAAAATGCTTAATCAGCATTATTTCAACTGACAATATTTTGACAATTCATATATATTTTTAGTTTCTGCAGTTATTTAATATGGACTGCAAATCATAAAAATAAAACTATTCTGAAAAATATGGGGCATAACTTTTTTTGTGTGTGGATGATTTCATATGGATTGACCCGAGAGTCAAAAAATAAATAAAATAAATTTAATGACTCCACAAATCACATCTTTATTTGTTAAACATTTTTTGTTCATTACATGGTCTTATTGAAATTCAAATTCTCACCATTGAGTTCTTAATGTTCTCATTGATGCAACCCAACATCTGAAAATGAAATTTGGAGATTTAAAAACTTTTTTTTTTTTTTTTTTGTAAAGCATGCTTTTCTGCTATGTTTTTTTTGCTTCTGTGTAACCCCTAACATGCATGTTTGTTGATTTAAAGTTAGTTTGTTTTTTATGTTTGTTAAGTCAGTATTTTTAAATTATCTAATTTAAATTATAAATTTTTTTTGAGCTATTGTTTCTTTGTGAAACAATAGCTCAAAAAAAAAGTAAAAAGCTTTACTTTTTTTTTGAGCTATTGTTTCACAAAGAAGGAATTATCTAATTATTTTATTTTTAGGAGATCTTTCAAAGCTAAAGTCTTCTGTTCGTAAAAGAAAAGGAAGAGGATTCAAAGGTTTGTGTACAAAAATAATTTGTGTGTTGCAATATGGCAATAATAAATGCTAGTCAGAACCCATGTGCAACAGATGCACATACAATGTACAACAGATGATAGGTCTATGATACTCATCCAAACAATTTTTTTTTTAAATAATCATTCACAACACTATATCATGTTGATTTTTGCTAAGAAAGTTTCGTTAAGTACTCTAAATATTTTTTTATTTTTAAAGTTTATTTTGGAAAATAGTTAACATAATAAAACAATTTAAATAATCATAAAATATTTCAATTGATTTTAGTACAATTTTACTTAACTTTTACTGTTAAAGACTCAAATTATTTTTTCATAAGTTATTGAATACACAGTTGAATATAGGATTCATCATTCATTTAGGGAAAACCTAGGAAATGTTTTAAAATTTATATATCAATATTATAACTATATAATATTGTCGATCTTAAAGTGTTTAAGGTCGGCAAAAGACTATATAATATCGTTGACCATAAAGTGTTTAAGGTCGTTTTTTGCCGACCTTGTTTCTATGTTTTATTGTAACTCCTTTGTATCAATTTTTTTTTTTTGCTGACCTTATGCCAAACTCTAACTGTTTGAGGTTGGCAATTTTTTGCCGACCTCAAACTTTCCAAGGGTTGTTTAACTAATGAGATTTTTTGTAGAAATAAATTGTTTAAAGCCATTATATATCAATATTTGTTTAATTGAAAATAAAAGTTTTACAAAAACCACAATTTAAATGAGAAAATAGCTAAAAAAATTATTTGTTTATATTCATGTTTGTAAAATAAAAATAAATTGTACTTGACCACCATGTTAAGTATGAATCAAAAACTTACCAAAAAGCTCGTAGTTCAATTATTGTCTAACAAAGTTATTAAAACTTGTTACGAAACAAAAAAAAGTTTTTTTTTTTATCAAAAAATGTGTTAAAAGTTTTGGAATTTTTGTTTTGAAAAATGCTGTTTTTTCATTTTAACATTGAATTTTAAACTAACAAACTTTTATGCAGCCTAAAAGTTAGCAACTTTACAAATTTTTTTTTTTTAAACGACACAAAAAACAATTTTCAATTTATATATAAGAATAATTTAATGTTAGTACATAAAAAAATATACAAAAAGGTTGCAAAAAGCAACTTTTTGTATATTTAAGCAACTAAAGCAACAAAAACTGACTAAAGTTTTTTTAAGGTTTTTTTATTTTTGCTTTTTTTAAAAGCTTCATGTTAAAAACACACAAATATACATTAGCATTATGTTTGCTATTATCATATTATGTGGTATTATTATTGATAATTTATCAGCAATTCTGTTGATAAATTTCTTGAATAAATCATTAATAAGTTTCATAAATAAATTATTTTATAAATAATAAATTCTTTAATATACTACTTGTATTTTTTTTTTAATCGGCATATTTATTACATATGTTTGCAATTTTTTAGAAAGTTTAGATGCACGAACCAATGAGCCATTTGAGTCTATTGATGAAGATGCACCCCACATTGAAGGACCACAAAAATGTAAAAATTAGAAATAGTATTTTTATCAGTTTTGTTTTATGTACTTTTATGTATGTGTCTATTTTTTTTCATGTAATTTTTTTTTATGTTATTTGTATTAGGAACATAATGTCTGGGTGCAAGCGTTTAACATTTTTTATTTAATATGTTAAGGGAAACTTAAATAAATGTTTTTTTAAGAAGCAAGTAAGCATAAACATGCAATTTTTTTTTAATTTGAGAAATGTGAAAAAAAAAAGATTTTCAAGCTACATTTACTCAGTCTTTTTTTTTTTTTTTTTTTTCTTCATGAAAATATAAGTCTTCTCTTACTGCAGCAATTTGTATAACATTTGCACCATACAATTAGCAATATCAAACTCTTCTTAAATATATTTATTGAACCTGTCAATATTTAATGGCCTTTAGCAAAAAAAAAAAATGCAATTTTTATCAGCTAATTTTTGAAATCCAGTATTATTCATAACAGATTTTCCTCCATGATGTCAATTTGTTATTTTAATTTATAAACTTTGATTTATTTATAAAAAAAATTGATCTCATTTATTTTGAATATAATACATGTTACATGTATTATGTACATAAGTATATAATAAAAGTATACAAGTCTTATCTGTTTAAATTTTAATGCCAGCGCATGAAAGCGCACTAGCTGAAAGTTAATATCAGTCTCTTGTGAGCTATTTAAAAATCATATATGGTATGAAATAAAATTGTTTTATTTAAATTAAAAAAATAAATAAAATAAAAGTAAAAACGACAAAAAAGAATGTTGATTTAAATTCAAATAGAATAATTAAAATAAAAACAGTTACAAGGTGGTATGTCCCAGGGCTCATGTTTTTACAACACCATATAACCATATCTGTATCTTTATAATTAATTTTAAAAGACATCAAACTTATATATGTATATATCAGCCCTCGAATTTAAAAAAAATTAACTGTTTGGCCTCAGGTCGGCACAAAATTTAGAAAAAGGGTTTGACAAATTGTCAAACCCTTGGCGTTAGCTTAAAAAAGAATGCAGCATTTTTCAATTGCATTAGGAATTTAAATAAAGCATTAGTTTTGCCAATTTTGTTTTAATCATTTTATTTTGAATTTTTTTTTTTTTTTTCTTTTTTTCTTTTAATTATTTTATTATGAATTAGATAAAAATGTGAGTTTTAAAGATTTTGTTGAAATTATTTTTAGTTTTATTTTATTAAAACGTTTGTTTTTTATTTATTTTAATTACTTTATTAGTAATTTAAATTAAACATTAATTTAACAGATTTCATTTTAATTAATTTATTAAAAATTTGAATAAAATGTTATAGTTTAGTTATTATAGTTTATTTATTTATAATTAAATTAAAAGTTCTTTTTTTCTTTTTGTTTTTATTTTAATTAATTGATTTTTAAAAATGTTTTTTTTTTTTTTTGTTGCTGTTTTTAATTTATTTAAAATAGCAATTAAAACTATGTTTTGAAATCTTGAGGTCAGTTGAGGAAAAATTCCCAGACAGTCGATGAATGCCTAATCTAATTTTGAGGATATATATATATATATATATTTATATATATATATATATATATATATATATATATATATATATATATATATATATATATATATTATTATATATATATATATATATATATATATATATATATTTATATATATATATATATATAGTGCATAAATAAATGGGCAGTCAACAATTAACAACCCCCTCTTCCTTTCCCACCCCAAACCTTATTTCAAACGGTCAATTGGAGCATTAGTTATTTAAACAAAAAATTTGCTGCTAATTTTTATTGATAAAAAGCAGATTTAATTTAAAATTTATTTTGAGAGAGAGAGCGAGAGTTAAAAAATTGTTATATAAATTACCCTTAATCAATTTTTAACACTAAATTTTATTGTTTTTTTAGCTGTGGAAGGTTGGATCTTGTTTGTAACAAATGTCCATGAAGAAGCACAAGAGGATGATGTGCACAACATGTTTCGTGAATATGGTGCTATTCGAAACATGCATTTAAATTTAGATAGAAGAACAGGATTCTTGAAAGTATTTTTTTTTTTTTTGTTTCTGTACCACTAGTGAAAGTTATTTTTCTTTTAGATATATCAGCATATAATTACAAAATTTAACCAAGTTGTAATCTAAGTTTAAACATTTTCAATGCAAGTGCATGAAAAAGCGCAGACATTATAATGGTTAACCTTGATGAATAATTGCACTAGAGTAATTCCATGTCAATTGAGCCAGGCCATGTCACCATACATCTCAGATTTTGCTGATTTTTATACAGTTGAGAGTACTTAGTAAAACAAAAAATCCTTGAAAATTTTAGCTTCTAGATCCATGAGGATCATGAAATATGATCATTTTACTTTTAACTGATCTTGGCCAGGCCCCTCTTGTCCCCTCAGAAGTGTGACCTTTGTTTAAAGGTTCCAAGTCACATAGCTTTAAAAATATTTGATCTTTTAACTTAAAAATTTGTACCTGGCTATTTTCAGGGTCGAAGAATCCAATGAAATAATCAGAAATGTAAAAAAAAAATTTTAAGTACTTGTAATTATCAATTTAAATAATTTTAGGTAATTTTTTATATACCTGGTTTTGATGCTCAAGAAAGCCATGTGGCCTTGATGATATAAAAAAAAAAAATTGTACACATTATTCTATGTTTAATGATCTTTCAGAAAACATAAAAATTTTGATCTGCAAGTATATGGATTTCCATATATGGTTAACGGGGCACAGGCCCCACTATTTTGTAGCAGAATCTTGCCATACATTTTTCACTACCTTTCAGACTAGCTGGAATGATGAAAATTTTGGTATTTATGTAGTGTCAATAAATGTGCATTTTAAAATTAAAAAAGGGCCCAAGACACTAGGGGAGGGGGCTGGGGGATGTGCCCCACTTTTTTGACCGGAATCTTGAGATGGATTTTTCAGTATCTTCCAGACAAGCGTGAGCTTTGAAACTTTCAGCATTTGTGAAGTCCTGATAAACATGCTTTAAAATAGTTTCAGGTTAGACGACTAGAAGGTCCATGGGACTGGGGCACCAGGGACCATGCCCCACTTATTTTCTCAAAAAAAAATTTTTTTTTTTTTTTTTAACACATTTTAACACATGAAACTATTGTCTTCAAAATTTTTTTTTAGATTTTTATTTTTAACAATGTTAAACATATCTTTGGTAACATTGCTTCCACAAATTTTTGTGATTTATATTTGTTCAATTTGGTTTTTGATCATTCTATGTTCAATGATCTTTCTTAAAATGTTTTAAGAAAGTTAATGTTTATAAGAATTGTGTCTAAAATAATGGTTTTACCATAATTTTATTTTGTATAATTTAAAATTTTAATTTAAAAAAGATTAATATATTTTAATGCTAAAATGGTAACAGCAAGTTGTTTAATTAACTTTTAACAGAAAAAAACATCCTGTCATAACATTATATCAATAAAAAAGAAATTTATCAATTTTTCAAAATCATTATTTTATTTGATATTTGCTAATTCTAAAATGTTAACAGCAAGTTATTTTATTAAATAAGAACTGTTTACAGTAACAAAAAACATCCTGTCATTAAAGAAATATGTCATAGAAGAAATTTGTTACCTATTAAAATTATCATTAACATTTTTAACATTAACAAATTGATTATAATTAAACTTTGTGAAAAGGAAACTTTATTTTTGTCAAAGTAAGATAAAAGAAATCAATCACTATTTAGTTTTTTATTACCATGGTGATTGCTTTCATTGAATTAATTACTAATGGTTTCTCATTTTTAAACTAATATCAAAATATTTTTAGTGTTACAGTAAGAATGGATTCATGTGATTTTGGAAAAAAATTAAATGATACTTGTCATAAACTAAGTTATTGTAGAAAGATTGATTTAAAGAAATTTGATTGCTATAGAGAAGATGCCAGAGAAGAATTTATTTGGAGATCTGGAATAACAGATGATAAAATTTTAACAATCTGCCTTCATCATGAAAAGATTTTTGGTACACACTTTGAAAAGAAGCACACAAAATGTTGCAATTTATTAGACAAGCATAAATCAAAAAAAAAAGCAATCAAAGGTAAATATTGTTGATAAAAAATTAAATTAGATAACTCATTAAATAGAGTCAACAATATATACCATGATGAAGAATTTACTAGACAAATGCCTGGTAAAAAAGATTACGTAAGTATTGGTAGAAAACAACACATGCAAAAGCGTCTTATTTTATGTAATCTTAAAGAACTTTATGTTTCTTTTAAAACTAAATATCCTCAAGAAGTTATTGGATTTTCTAAGTTTTGCAGTTTAAGACCAAAATGGTGTATAACTGTTGGAGCATCAGGCACTCATTCTGTTTGTGTATGTACCCTCCATCAAAATGCAATACTCTTGACCAATGCTATACAAATGAAATGTACTTACAAAGATATGATGACAAAAGTTGTTTGTGATGTGACAAGTAACGAGTGCATGGTTCATCGATGTCCGAACTGTCCAGGTATGGTTTCTTTAAAGAAGTTTCTGGATGCACAACTAATTGATAATGACAATGACGAGGAGGTGTCATTCAATCAGTGGCAGAAAACAGACAGAACGACATTGATCTATCAGACAACAACTATTGAAGAATACAAATTGATGTTATCAGAGGCAATAAACAAGTTAACAGCTCATTCCTACATTGCAAAATGTCAATCAAGATACCTAAGCAACAAAAGGAAAATTTAGCAAAAAACTGCTGTATTGTCTTAGTTGACTTTGCAGAAAACTTCACTTTTGTGATTCAAGATGAAATCCAAAGTTACCATTGGTGCAAAAGTCAATGCACATTGCACCCTGTTGCCCTCTATTTATTAAACGAAAACGACCAACTTGAAGAAAAATCGTTTTGTTTCATGTCAGAAAATAATGAGCATGACACTGGTTTTGTGTATGAAGTTCAAACACAAATAGTTAACTATTTAAAAGAATATCATCCTAAAATTTCAAAGATTCTTTATTTTTCTGATGGTTGTGCTGCACAGTATAAAAACCACAAAAACCTTTACAATATCTGTCTCCATAAAAATGATTTTGACATTGATGCAGAGTGGACATTTTTTGCTACAAGTCATGGTAAGTCATCATGTGATGGTATTGGTGGCATTGTAAAACGATTAACTACAAATGCAAGTCTACAAAGGCCCATAAATGACCAGATATTGAATTGTAACAAAATGTTTGACTACTGTACTAACAATATTAAAGGGATTATTTTTTTCAAGATTGAAAAAGAAAGACTGACAGAATTGCGCACCACTTTGAAAACACGTTTTGAGCTAAGTAGAACAATCCCTGGAACTAGGAGCTATCATCAATTTAAACCAGAATCTATAGATACTATTATCTTTAAACGAACAAGTGAAGATGTTCATATAACAGGCATTTTTTCTTTTTCTGGTATTCAAAGTTCTCAAAATGATCAGCAAATTAACATTGATGCCTTGAAATTTGGTGAATTCATTATGTGTAAATATGATGCGTTTGATTGGATTGGTATGATCAATGAAGTTGATAATATAGAGCAAGATGTTATGGTAACATTTATGCACCCGCACGGTCCTTTTAATAAACTTTTCTGGCCATCTAGAGTAGATGAGTGTTGGGTTCCAATTACCAACATAACTTGTATAATTGATGCACCTGTAACAACAAATGGACGTTTGTATACTTTGACCGTCAATGCATCTAAGCTAATCTTAGCATTATCTTGACAATTTCTTTTTTTTGTATTTTATTTTGTAAATAATGAAGTAAAACGAAACAAGCATAAAGCAATAAAATATTTAAATACAATATTTTCAAAGTTATCTTAAATTTAAGACAAAAAAAAAATATTTTTTTTTGAGAAAATAAGTGGGGCATGGTCCCTGGTGCCCCAGCCCCATGGATCTTCTAGTCGTCTGACCTGAAACTATTTTAAAGCATGTTCATCAGGACTACACAAATGCTGAAAGTTTCAAAGCTCACGCTTGTCTGGAAGATACTGAAAAATCCATCTCAAGATTCCGGTCAAAAAAGTGGGGCGCATCCCCCCCAGCCCCCTCCCCTAGTGTCTTGGGCCCTTTTTTAATTTTAAAATGCACATTTATTGACACTACATAAATACCAAAATTTTCATCATTCCAGCTAGTCTGAAAGGTAGTGAAAAATGTATGGCAAGATTCTGCTACAAAATAGTGGGGCCTGTGCCCCGTTAACCATATATGGAAATCCATATACTTGCAGATCAAAATTTTTATGTTTTCTGAAAGATCATTAAACATAGAATAATGTGTACAATTTTTTTTTTTTATATCATCAAGGCTACATGGCTTTCTTGAGCATCAAAACCAGGTATATAAAAAATTGCCTAAATTTATTTAAATTGATAATTACAAGTACTTAAAAAATTTTTTTTACATTTCTGATTATTTCATTGGATTCTTCGACCCTGAAAATAGCCAGGTACAAATTTTTAAGTTAAAAGATCAAATATTTTTAAAGCTATGTGACTTGGAACCTTTAAACAAAGGTCACACTTCTGAGGGGACAAGAGGGGCCTGGCCAAGATCAGTTAAAAGTGAAATGATCATATTTCATGATCCTCTTGGAGCTAGAAGCTAAAATTTTCAAGGATTTTTTGTTTTACTAAGTACTCTCAACTGTATAAAAATCAGCAAAATCTGAGATGTATGGTGACATTTTTGAAATTTTCTGGCTCAATTGACATGGAATTACCCACTACCCCCAAGGAATATTCTGCTACTAATTATATAATAACAAATATTTTTTAAGGCTACTATAATAAATATAAACCTTATTAAAACCCTATTAAAATAATTTGAACATTCTGACTATAATATAAGATAAAGTTAATATTTGTGGAGACATACTGTCTGCACAAAGATCATCTTCAGCTTTGATTCTTTGCAAACAATTTAAGGCATTGCTATGATTTATATGCAATTTTAAGATGATTTGATTATTCAAAGGGGTGGCTTTATGT